CGTTTTCAGTGGTTACATATATTGTCTCCCATGTTTCAAAGAAAGGAAACCAGACTCTTGGAAATCCATATTTAAAACTTACATATGATTTCTTTTAAAAATTATGCTTTCCTTGTAAAATTACATTTTGGTTGATTCATATAATCGACTGAACCTCAGAAAGGAACTTGTCCTAATTAATTATTCACACCACTTATTTATGTAAGTAAACTTAATTTTGGGAGGGCAAGTAGACTGCATGACTGTACCGTATTATTGATCTTACATGAATCATTTATCACATTTTATATTTTTTAGTGTTTTATGTATTATGTATATACGTAATTATGCCTTGCATAATCTCGGTTTAGATCATGCAAAATCCTTCAAGCAAAACCTATTATACACATTAGCACCCAAATCAAATTCCGTAATAAATTTCTGATCTGATGCTAAAATATGTTGGCCTTCAATGAACGAGGGTTTGCCTAATCGTCAAAACTTAGAAATCTTTGTTAATCTTTTCCTGAGTTTTTCCTCTAAGGAGTTAACTCTTGCCGGATTATAATTCCCTAATTACCATTGGTGTCTAGAGTGAGTTAAAAACAGTTGAGTTGATAATAAGTTTATCACTTTGTGCTGTCGTGACATTTGAACACCGTCGTTTTTATGTATTTGTTGCTCCTTTGTCCACTTTTCATAAGAACATACAACTGGGAGCAGGAGTAGGCCGTCCGGCCCTTCAAGCCTACTCCACCATTCAATAAGATTATGGCTGATCTTTTTGTGGACTCAGATCCACTTACCCGCGTTCTCACCGTATCCCTTAATTCCTGATTTGTTCAAAAAAGTATCTACCTTATCTTTAAAAACGTTTACTGAAGTAGCGTCAACAACTTCACTGGGCAAGGAATTCCATAGATTAACAACCCTCTGGGTGAAGAAGTTCCTTCTCAATTCAGTCCTAAATCTGCTCCTTCTAATCTTGAGGCTATGCCCTCTTGTCCTAGCTTCACCTGCCAGTGGAAACATCCTCTCTACTTCTATCTTATTTATTCTCTTCATAATTTTATATGTTTCTATAAGATCCCCCCTCAATCTTCTGAATTCCAATGAATATAATCCCAATCTACTCAGTCTCTCCTCATAAGCCAACCCCCTCAACTCTGGAATCAACCTAGTGAACCTCCTTTGCACCCCCTCCAGCGCCAGTACATCCTTTCTCAAGTAAGGAGACCAAAACTGCACACAGTACTCCAGGTGTGGCCTCACCAGCACCTTGTACAGCTGCAACATAACCTCTCTGCTTTTAATCTCAATCCCTTTAGCATTGAAGGACAAAATTCCATTTGTCTTCCTAATTACTTGTTGTACCTGCAGACCTACCTTCTGTGATTCATGCACAAGGACACCCAGGCCCCTCTGCATAGCAGCATGCTGCAACTTTTTGCCATTCAAGTAATAATCCTTTTTCCTATTACTCCTACCAAAATGTATGACTTCACATTTATTTACATTGTATTCCATCTGCCAGACCTTTGCCCACTTACTCAATGTATCTATGTTCCTCTGCAAAGTTTCACAGTCCTCTGCACACTTTGCTCTGCCACTCATCTTAGTGTCATCTGCAAACTTTGACACCCTACACGTGGTCCCCAACTCCAAATCATCTATATAAATTGTAAATAATTGCGGTCCCAACACTGATCCCTGAGGCACACCACTAGTCACTGACTGCCAGCTAGAATAGCACTCATTTATCCCCACTCTTTGCTTCCTGTTAGTCAACCAATCCTCTATCCATGCTAATACTTTACCCTTAATGCCATGCATCCTTATCTTATGCAGTAGCCTCTTGTGCAGTACCTTGTCGAAGGCCTTTTGGAAATCTAGGTACACCACATCCACTGGGTCCCCATTGTCCACCTTGCTCGTAATGTCTTCATAGAATTCCAAAAGATTTGTCAAGCATGACCTGCCCTTCATGAACCCATGCTGCATCTGTCCAACGGGACAATTTTTATCAAGATGCCTTGCTATTTCTTCCTTGATAATAGACTCGAGCATCTTCCCCACTACAGAGGTTAAGCTAACCGGTCCATAATTCCCCATCTTTTGTCTACTTCCCTTTTTAAACAGTGGCATCACATTTGCTGTTTTCCAATCTGCTGGGACTGCCCCAGAGTCCAGCGAATTTTGGAAAATTACCGCCAGTGCACCTGCTATTTCTCCCGCCATCTCTTTTAGTACCCTGGGATGCATTTCATCAGGGCCAGGAGACTTATCAATCCTTAGCTCCATTAGCTTGCCCAACACTACCTCTCCGGTAATAATGATTGTTTCCAGGTCCTCACCTACCTTCGTCTCTTTGTCAATTACTGGCATGTTATTAGTGTCCTCCACTGTGAAGACCGATACAAAACATCTGTTCAATGCCTCGGCCATTTTATCATATCCCATAACTAAATTCCCCTTTTCAACCTCTAAAGGGCCAACGTTTACATTAGCCACTCTTTTTCATTTTATATATTTATAGAAACTTTGTTATCTGTCTTTACATTCTGTGCTAGTATTTTCTCATATTCTATCTTACTTTTCTTTATAGCTCTTTTCGTGGCTTTCTGTTGACTTTTAAAGTTTTCCCAATCTTCTAGTTTCATGCTGTTTTTGGCCACTTTGTATGCCTTCTCTTTCAATTTGATAGCCTCCCTTATTTCTTTAGACACCCATGGCAGATTACCCTTTTTCTTACAGTCCTTCCTTTTCACTGGAATATACTTTTTCTGAGCACTTTGAAAAATTGCTTTGAAAGTCCTCCACTGCTTGTCAACTGTCCCACCATAAAATCTTTGTTTCCAGTCTACTTTAGCCAAGTCCTCCCTCATTCTATTGTAGTTCCCCTTGTTCAAGCACAGGACCCTGGTATTGGATTTTATCTTCACACTCTCCATCTGTACTCTAAATTCAACCATACTGTGATCACTCCTTTCAAGAGGATCCCTAACTATGAGGTCATTAATTATTCCTGTCTCATTACACAGGACCAGATCTAGGATAGCTTGCTCCCTCGTTGGTTCCATTACATACTGTTAAAGAAAACTATCATGGATACACTCAATGAACTCCTCCTCAAGGCTACCCTGACCAAGCTGGTTCGACCAATCGACATGTAGATTAAAATCCCCCATGATAATTGCCGTACCATTTTTACAGGCATTAGTTATTTCTTTGTTTATTGCCCGCCCCAATGTGATGTTATTATTTAGTGGCCTATAGACTACGTCTATCAGTGACTTTTTCCTCTTAGAATTTCTAATTTCCACCCAAATGGATTCAACCTCATTCTCCATAGAACCTGTATCATCTCTCAGCAAAAATTCCACGGACAAAAATAAACATAAATCATTTTCTACTTGTGCCTGTTTCTTATTATCTCTGTTTGTCTGTGCCTTTGGGTAAATTTTTAGCTCCGTTAGTTTTCACATTTATGCTGACAACTACCAGCTTTATCTCAGCACCAACTCTCTTGACACCTACACTGTTGCTAAGTTATCAGGCTGCTTGTGCAACATCCAGGACCAAATGAACAGAAATTTTCTCCAATTAAATATTGGGTAGACTAACATTGTTTTCCAAACAATGGTGTTTTCCCCGTTCCAAACACTATTCTCTAGCAACTGACTCTATCTCTCTCATGGTAATAGTCTGAGGTTAAGTCAATGCGTTCATAGTTTTGGCGTCACTTTTGATCCAAAGATGAGCTTTTAATCTTTTATTTACACCACCTCCATGACTACCTTTATAACTTCCATACAATTGGCTGACTTCACCCCTGCCCCTGCTTATTTGCTGCTGAAATCCTGATCCATTGTTTCCTCCAGATTTGACTATTCCAAAACCTTCCTGGCCAGCCTCCCAAATTCTACTGTCTGTAAATTTGAAGTCATTCAAAAACTATTGCCTGTGTCTTCACTTATCGGAAGTCCCATTCCCCCATGATGCCTCACTTTGCTGGCCTACATTTATAAATGTAACTTGCATGAGCTTTGCTCGTGTCTATCTTATAAAACAATAAAATTTTGTGAAATTTATTTTGTGTAAATATAAATCTTTGGTAAGTTTAAGTGATTGTGATGGAATGTTTTTACTGCAGTATCCTGTTTTACTCATAAAAGTGATGTGTCAAACAGATGTCATTTTGTAGCTTTTGAACTCCACTATTAATGGCGACTAAATACAAGAGAGAATTAGAGAAGGATGTTAGATACATGAGCAAGTTCCTGCTGATCTGTTCAGTACCTGCATTGTAATGGGTTGTACTCTCGCCTTTGACAAATCGCCTAGCTCTGGAAGCTTTTTCCAAGATGCTGAAATCTGTGGTGATGCATGACCAAGTCTACCTGATAAATTCAAGTGTCACGTTGTGTGTGATGGTGATTTATCAATTTTCTGATTTTTTTTCGTGTGGAAAAGACATTAGCATTGTAAAGATACAAATCAGCAGTATTACCAGACATTTTTGAAGCTGCTTCTCCATATTGCTTCAGTTTTCATTTCTCCAGTAATGTAACGGCACCCTGAATGTGAAGAAAACCAACCTGACTACAAAATAAATAGATAAAAATTCAATGTTAGATCCTGAAATGATATGTATGAAGACTTGTGCTTTTGTAAAATTGCTGATTAAGAAAGGCATGTTTCTGCTGTTTGAGTTCATTAGCAATAAAAATGAATAATGCCAAAAATTAGTTTAAAATGTGGATGAAGTTTAGTAAATGAAAAAAAAATGCCTCATTTCACCTGAAGAACAAACAAAAACATGCACAAATCAGACACTCGTGCAGAAATATCTGCCATTTAGGTGAAACTGAAATTCCTGTTTATCTCTTTGCATTAAAAAAAGACTTCTTGTAATTATTGACAACACACTTCCAGTTCAGAAAAATATTTATAACACTTGAATTTAAAGGAAACCAGACATAATTGTAAGTTTATTCAAAAATGTTAATTTTGTTCCAAAAAAATCAATTTCACATACTGATTTTACTCACTGTGTGATCTACTCTAACGGATTGTATCCATTCACTAACACCACATGTGGCATTCTATTTTAAACTGCCCACCTTCTAAACAACTGCCAGCTAAAGTATTGTGTAAAACAGGACAGGAGGTATTGCTTGGAGACCACTATTACAGTCCACTACTTTACACATTACATAGTTAAATACAGGAAAAACACTTTTAACCTTTACTTAGCATCACTGTGCCATTGTACCATATCTTTTGACTGTGGTGAGCAGTTTAACATTAACAGAAAATAAGTTAGGCTGTTACAACTTATGTTGGCTGGTGATGATTGTTTCTTTTGAAAGTTGCCATTCTCAAAAGGACACTCACACCAATCCACATCTTTGCCTTGTCTTTATTAGTTTGGTGTATGTCTGTCCATCGTACAAAATGCACAGTATAGGAGAGGGGTCTCCTCCCATTTCCTGCAAGTATCATGAGCAGGGCCTGTGCTTTTTTTCTTCTTCTTTTGTATCCAACATTTAAAAGCAGTCCAGTTGTAACCAGCTTTCATGAACATCACCTTTTAAAAAATTTACGAACAGGTTGCTGATACATCTATTACCGTGGCTTTAACTTCCAGTGGTCCTTTCTTCTCTTTTGCTGTGTCCCAAATATTGATAATTGGAGCGTAGAAGTTGTTTGATGGAAATATTGCTTTACTCGGCATGTACTTTTCTGAACAGCTGTGGCTGGAATTATACTTCATCCTCCAAGTCGCATAAGAGCAGAGACACGTCATGCTAATGACACCAAAGATTACACCAAGGACAGCCACAAGTGCTGAGATTGTACTTTGTCCGTTTGATTTTACAGCCAACTCCAATCCATTTGTTGTGACATTGACACATTTCTTTTCAGTTTGTTGATGAATGTTGGTTACGTCAACACATACCTCATACTCAGTTGATGGGTTCAAATGCGTTAGATTATATGTACGTATATCTATTGGAACTCTGGTTGTATAGGTAAGTTGAGGGCTGTCAGAATTCATTTTGGCAGACCATTGAATATTTGTTGATATACAGTTTGAAACAGGCTTCCAAGACACCAAGATAGAATGCGATGCCACATTTTTTATTTTGATATTCAGAGATTCATTCATGGATTGTGCAAATGAGCCATTCACTGTTATAAGAACTGTTTTCAAATCTGCTCCAACCAGATTGTGGGCCACACATGTATACAAGCCTGTTTCATTGTTGCTTACATTAAATAAATCCAGTGTTCCTTCAAGTTGCATGTTGTATTTATTGGTTGAAGTATTAGGCAGAAGTTTATCACCGGATGGTGAGATCCAGTAGATTTCAGGTTCTGGTAGTCCTGTAGCTCGACAGTGCAGAGAGACTGAGCTCCCACTGCTTAAATTTACAGCTGAAGGGAAGCTTTCAGATGCTACTAATGGAAGGCACATATCTGTCATTTCTCGGAAGGGAATCTGTCGGACATGCTGACCTTTAAATTCAGGTGGGTCAAAACAAAACAAAGACTGTAGTTCCATGAATCGAATGTGTGTTTTGTTCATGTTAATCCAGCGAATGACACAATCGCATCTTATTGGATTGCTATGAATGCTGACTTCCTGCAGTTTAGGTAAAGATTCCACTGTGCCTCTGTAGAGAGCACTAAGTGCATTGCTGTTAAGCATTAATGTTTCAAGTTGGGGAGCTCTGTAGAATGCATGTGGATGGATATATGATAGCTTTGGGTTGTTTGTTGCTTCAATTTTTGTTAGTTCAGGCAAATTGTCGAGAGCAAGACAATCAATAGAAACCAGTTCTGCCATATTATTAATGCCCAGCTCTTTCAAGTGCAACATATTTCTGAAATCCCCTTGCCGTATTCTCTGAATGGGATTTTTATTCAAATCCAAGAATTTGAGATTGGGAACTTTCTGAAGAGCTGCATGGGGCACGGTGATAAGTCTGTTGTCATAAAAAGAGATGCTTTCTAAATTGTTTAGGCCAACTAATGTATTGTCCCCCAGTTCTGAAAGCTTAATTCCAGCTAGGACCAAACTCCGCAGATTGCTGAGGGGTTTGAAGCTCATGGCTTGAATTTTAGTGATGGGATTTTCTCCTATTGTTAGAATCTCCAAGCTTGGGATAGCATCAAACCAGCTGCTTTTAATCGTTGTTAATTGGTTAGAATTAAGATGCAATCTGAGAAGATTATTTAGACCTACAAATGCTCCCATTGCAATGCTGGAAATCTGGTTATGATTAACATAAAATTCCTGTAGGTTGCTGAGTCCAAGCAAACAGCTGTCAGGCAACTCTTTGAGTTTGTTTTCCTCCAGGTGCAGTGACATTAGCTGGAGCATTTTTCCCAGGTTGATGTCACAGATTGCTGAAAAATTGTTTTGTGATAAGTCGATTTCTGTAAGATTAACCAAATAGTCTATTTTGATCTCGATTTTTGAAATGTTGTTACTCTGCAGTAGCAAAACTTGTGTCTCAGCTGGTATTTTTGGAGGAAGTGAAGCCAGGTTTAAATTGTTGCACTCTGTTGTAGGAGCTTCCATATAAATAGATCTTGGCGTGAACCATGGTCTGATTTCACAAATACAGGACTTTGGACAGTCCATATTTCTTTCTACCATTTGTACTACTGCAGTGACTGCAAGCCCAATAAAAACACAGGCATTGAATGATGTGTCCTTCATCCTGGAATGGTTTCTTCTGCCTAATAATAGTGTTTAAGGATTCTGCAATTACTGCTGTTAAGCTTAATCACCAGATCATTTGTTACCAAGCGCTGAACATTTGCTGTCTTATATATTTCATGTGAATGGCAGATTTCTATCCTTGAAAGGAAGAAGTAAACTTTCAATTACCCTGTCCAAAGATGCCATGCATGTAAGGCTGTTCAATCCTTGATACTGTGAAAGTGATAAACTGGGATAATCTCACAGAAAATTCTGCAAATATATTATGCACTTCATTTATTCTTCTATAGTCTGCCCATTTTTCCTGAGCATCTTTTTTAGAGAGGCATTAAAATAACATCGGATCACCTACAATAAACAAAACAAAAATCTTCATTAGGCAATGTAAAGCTGTTTATCCATACATTTACAAAGGCTTTAGCTTTGTATATAAACATTTGCATGGTTAATTTGTACTGAGTAAACATACGTAAATGTATTTATGCTGTAGGTATTCAAATAGGGCCAGAATACAAACTTCCAGAATAGTAAACAAAAGCATATTTGAATGAGTAGCATACTATGTTTGATTAACTTGTACTGTTAACAATGTTAATTGAGTCAATAACCTTCGATGTTAAAAAAACGCTTTCAAATGTTCAATATTGTATTTTCCACAATACTATAGTGTATGAAACCTGCATTAGCTTTTACAGGATTTTATTACCTGTAAGGAGTCCATTGTTGATTTATTTTTGTAGTACACACTGGGAAGTCTGACAATATTACTTTCATCAGAATTCTGAATTACAAAATAAGTGTTTGCAAAACCAAAGGTTTATCACACAGAGTTCAAATGGACTACAATAATTCCAGCTTCTTCAAATGAATTTAAGAAGTGTGAAATTACTTTCTCTACTGTACTCAACTATACATCAGAGCATTTGACAGAGGATTTTGTGTTTCTCAAAACCATTGACTTTTCACAAAACAGAGTTCACCTTTTTAAAGTGATTTCATTTAAATGCAGGGACTTAAGTCTGAAGTGTTTTAGGACAGGTACTTCAGTTATGCTTGTACAATTTCATGTAGAAAACACAAATGCAAAATGTACAACAGTCTCAGCATCTGTCAGGAGAAAAGGTGGATTAATAGTTCCAATGTAAACTCTTCATCACAACTGTAAACCGAAAGATAAGCAAGCATTTTGCTGGAGTTTGGAGAAAAATGAGCACAGAGGCATTTTGATGAAATTGCCTGGAAAAAAAATAGTTAGGTGCTATGAAGGGTGTTTTTTTTTAAGAGTGCTTTATCTCCTAATGGAGCAGACATTTTCACCATCTATGTGCACAATACATTTTTTTCATCTAATGGAAAATGAAATTCAGGCAAGTTTTAAATCAGGCTGATGATCTTCCTCTTGGTCTATTATCTGAGTAGGTGGGGGAAAATAATGACCAGTGTGTTCTGTTAAATATAATATTCCTTCCCTTATAAAATACGTTAAATCTAACTTATCCTGAGCAGTGATTTTCTATTACTATGTTAAAAGATAATGCATCAGCACACACATACACATAACATAAAAATTCATACTAAATGTACTTGGTTTTTGAAGCAAAGACAGCATTTCAATTTATAAATTTACTAGCCAATAAATAATTGGGACCAAATTTTCCTAACCAGTATTAGGACTGAAAAGTGGTGCGATTTCAATAAAATAGCACTGGTAGCTTGTGTTCCATTCTGCCATCTCTGCTCCCATCTTTCCTAAGGTGTATGAGGGACATGCAGAAAATGAAGTTGACTGCCTCATCAATTGAATGGATTGAGATCATTATGGAGCTCATTAAGAGTGATCTTCTGAGAGTTTCATGTGTGTTAGTGTCTGTTAGGAGTTCTCTGAAGCAGTTGCAACCTGGCTGGAACAGGAGTGGCAGCACTGAAACAATTTTATTCATTTGAAAACAAAATGAAGTTTGCACAAAACTTGCTTAGCAGCCATGAAATTTTAATTTCCTATTTTATCCTTGGTCCCAGCTCTCAGCATGTTGTGACCACTTTAAAGGTAAAGATTATCTCATTCTTTTAGACCATGCATAAGCAGCAGTCACAGCAATAACTGCTATTTCAATTCTCTGATGTCCTGCTGCTATTCCTGCCAAATAATTGGTGGCAGACCCATTTCTAGGATTGTGAATGCTCTAATCCTGTGAAAAGCCAATGCTTCACGACAAGCTTAAATTGATTGTGGCTTTACAAATTGAATGCACTTCCCAATTCCTTTGACACAAAAATCTGACCCTTCAGTTCTGAATGATGCAAAAGTTTTGTACACTAATTAGTAATTTTCATGTACAGTAATTATTAAATAGTGAATGCCTAAGTCATTGCTTGCTTAGAACTAAGACTTTGTAGGTTTCCATGAAGCTCAGTCAAAATTCTGGAGTCTAAATCACAGTATCCTAAACATCCTCTTCATGGGAAGGCAGTGACACAGTGGGAATGTCACTAGTCTAGTAATCCAGAACCCCCGGCTAATTTTATGAGGGCATGGGTTCAATTCCTGCCATGGCAGATGGAGAAATTTGAATTCAATAAAAAACCTGGAATAAAACAATAAAGTCATCTATGTAGCCATTGTCTGGTTCACTAATGTGTTTTAGGAAAGAAATTCTCTTCTTATCTGGTCTCACCTTCAAGTGATTCCAGACCCATGTCAATGTGGTTGGCCTTTAACTGCCCTCTGGCCAATTAGGCTGTGGGCCTATTGTTCACATCCCATGAACAAATAAAGAAAAATCCTCTGTACTTGCCACTGTTCCTGGAGCACCGCCACAGTAAAATTCTTAACTTAATATTCAAATCCCTTAATGATGTAGACCTGCTCTGCTTTGTAATCTTCTTAAAAATTCCTCCATCTTTCATAGCCCTGTTTCATATTCCCACTATTATTACCCAAAAATATGAGCCTATCATTTATTTCTCCTCTTTAAGGCAGTCATTAAATCCTACCTCTCCTGATCAAACCTTTGGCCATCTGTCCTATGTCTCATTCTTTGACCCAATGTCAACTTTTGTCTCATAATGCTCATCTGAGATGCCTTTGGATGATATGCGACATTAAAATTGCTATATAAATGCAATTTGTTAATTTATATGAACAGAGCTGTACATACCATCTATTATTGATGTTGTGGAATGACAGCACCTCTCTGTGAAGGACAGAGATTCATTTAAGAAATAGAGAGTAAGTGGGATGAGCTAAAGTTGTCACAAAGCAATTATATTTATTTTCTGAGAATCTATTTACATATCCATTGCTCTGAGGAGAAAATAACATCTGCTTTTCTCTTGGGAATTGTTTCTTTTGAATCCTCAACGAAATTTAACAACAGGAACTTGTTCTGATACTGCACTTGTTAACTGCAATATTTCACAAGGTGCTTTACAGAGGAATAACAGGAGGAAAGATGCATTGATCCAGGAGATGATGAGAGAATGTTATGCAACACAATGAACTTTGAGGAGGCAGGAAGAAGTTGCAGAGGTAGGAAGAGGCTGTGGTGACTTTGAAGCCAAGGATAGAACATAGAACATAGAATGTTACAGCGCAGTACAGGCCCTTCGGCGCTCGACGTTGCGCCGACCTGTGAAACCAATCTGAAGCCCATCTAACCTAAACTATTCCATTATCATCCATATGTTTATCCAATGACCATTTAAATGCCCTTAAAGTTGGCGAGTCTACTACTTTTGCAGGCAGGGCATTCCACACCCTTACTACTCTCTGAGTAAAGAACCTACCTCTGAAATCTGTCCTATATCTATCACCCCTCAATTTAAAGCTATGTCCCCTCGTGCTAACCATCACCATCCGAGGAAAAAGGCTCCCACTGTCCACCCTATCTAATCCTCTGATCATCTTGTATGTCTCTATCAAGTCACCTCTTAACCTTCTTCTCTCTAACGAAAACAGCCTCAAGACCCTCAGCCTTTCCTCATAA